GAGGTGATTCTCAACCGTCAAAAAAACGCACAAAAGCAAGGCATTATGATTCATTGGTTTTATACAATCGCAAAGACTTTTCTTATTTCCTTAAACTTATCTTTATCATTGAATGTATTACAGATGCCTCCCTTTCCTCCCCTACTGACCCCCTCCTCCCCAATCCCGCCCCGCTTCTGCCAACAAAGGTTTTTCTATTTGATTATCATCATTTAACTTCTAAGTCTTTGCCTCATGTCCCACAAGGCCAAATAAAGAGTTCAGAAATACCGTGGACATACATGCCATTTTTGAATCCACAGTACAATTACATTACGGTGGTCTTTTTCCAACAGGAATTTTCCGACAGTTCAATCATATGTCAATTTTATTATTTATTATTGATAATACATTTTGTAGAGAGAATCAAAGGACCGCGTCGCTTTCCCACTCGAAGAGACCTCAAATCGCAGTACTCTATCCTGCGGGTGGAAGAATCCAGCCCCTAAAGAGATGAAGGTTCTGGCCAGGGAGCCTATCAACTACATTAAGATGTTAGACACTGTTGCACCGGTTTTCATACACGCTCCCTTTTATAAGATCAGAGAAACATTTTGTATTTGAACATGTGGCTGACCCCAGTTGTCTTCCTTTGACGGATTGTGAAACAATTGTCTCGGGGGCACTCGCCCGAGTCCAACGAGAATCATGTCCTGCCTGCCACCTGTCGACATAAAGGTGAAAGTGAGCACTTCATCTGGGGTTTCGCAAGTAGAACCGAGTGTACCCTGTTCGACCCGGCGGTGGGGAGTTCGTGTGTCCTGTGGATGTGCACTTGGGATTACAACTCATTATACTGGCAACGTCCTGTGGGCGTCCACAGGTCCGGTTCCTGGAACTGGAGTGAACCATCCTGGTGAGTCCATTTCTTTAAAAGGAGGGAGTATAGCAGCACAATTGTGGGTGACTCCCCTCGGTCCCAATATTACATGATTGCAAAATCCTCAAGGTTCGCTCTTTCAGTTGTAGCAAAACATACATAGTGCCAAACCGACCATTTAAACCATTTAAGAGTATGCAAGTTAGTGGCGTGACGTACATTCACAGTGTTGGGCAACCACCATCCCTGCCTAGTTCCAGAACATTTTGTCACCCCAACGAGAAACACCCAGGAAGCAGACTCCCTATTTCCGTCTCTTCCCAGGCTTGGCAACTAATCTGGGCTGGCTCGTTCTGCACAGTTCGCATAACAGGCATCACACAGTGGGTTGCCTTTGCGTCTACCGTATTTCACCTAGCAGAATGTTTTCAAGGTCCACGCCTGTGAGAGCATCTGCAATACTTCCTTCCTGATTGTTACTGAACCATACTCCATTCTATGGCCACACCCCCACTGGGTGACCCATTCCTCAGTTGACAGACATTTCGGTTATTTCTACTTGGAGGCTACTGTGAACAGTGGTGTGATGAACATTCACGCACAAGTTTTTATCTGAATACCGGTTTTCATTATATAGATGTACGTATACATATATTTATAGATATTTGCCAGCTCGTGTGATAATGCTGAATTTAACTTACTAAGGAAGCGCCACACTTTTCTGCAGTGGCTGCACCATTTTGCATTCCACCAGCAGTGGATGAGGGTACCAAGTTCTTCACACCCTTCCCAATGCTTGCTCTTTTCATTTCATTGGCATTTTTTATGGCCACCCTAGTGCATGTGAAGCATGTCTCTTTGTGGCTTTAATTGCATTTCCCTGACTATTGATGTTCAGCATCTTTTTATGTCTTTGCTGGCTATCTGTATTTCTTTCCTGAAGAGATGTCTATTCAGGTCCTTTGCCCATTTTATTTTTTAATTGGTTTGTTTGTCTAATAATTATTGAATTGTATCAAGATTTTCTTTTGCCCGCCCAGTGTGGCTCAGAAAATTGAGCGTCATCCCATGGACTGAGAGGTCCTGGTTTGATTCCCGGTCAGGGCACAAGCACGGGTTGTGAGCTTGATCTCCAGTAGGGGGCGTGCAGGAGGCAGCTGATCCATGTTTCTCTCATCGATGTTTCTCTCTCTCTCTGAAAAAACAAAATTCAATAAAAAATTTTTTAAAAGATTTTCCTTTAATATAATAAATGTTTGGCTACAGTCAGATGTTTGAAAACCCAAGTGTATCTTTGACCTCTCCTTGTCTCCTTTTATGTGAGTATAATGAATGCCAGCATAATTCCCTTCTGTATTGGAACAAACTGAGCTTTAGTTTCTTCAACCTTGTAATTATACAAACCTATGCCCAGATTAATGAGGTTATTCAATGAGCTGGATTTTCTGGTTTTTCTTCCTTTTGACTGCCATACCTGATTCTCCCCAATGATTAATGAAACTCTTCCCTAGAGGTTGCCTTCCAAGTCTGTGACTTGGAAGTACATTCATGTGTGGAATTTATGGGTGATAAATCCGATAGTCTTAATGAATTTCTCCCCCAAATGAACTGATTTTCCAATAGAGCTTATGACATTTACAAACTGCAGAAAATGATTCCAAGTTATCATTTGAGCTGTGACTTGACTGCTAGGAAAAAGTACCTTCAGTCTTTTCTAAATCCGTGTAAATAGTGAGAATGAAAAAAACATATATATACATTTTATTATCTCATCCACCAAGGTGACTTCTCTAAAATGACCCTTATATTTGGCCCTGGTCAGTTTTGCTCAGCGGTTAGAGCGTCGGCCTACGGTCTGGAGAGACCCGGGTTTGGTTCCTGATAGGGGCACGTGCCTCGGTTGCAGTTTGTCCCCGGCCCTGGTTGGGTCTTGTGGGTGGCGGCCACTCGATATGTCCCTTTCACGTTGATGTTTCTCTCTCTCTCTCTCTCTCTCTCTTCCTCTCTCTCCTTCCCACTCTATCTGAACAATAAAATGAAAGGGTGTCCTCGGGTGAGGATAAAAAAAAGTTACCCCTATATTTGGACATATACGCTCCAGCATTGTTTTCGAACAATGATTCTTGTTTCTCATAGCTAGCGAGCTATGCTTCCTCCATCCACAGAGGAAGCGGAATGACAATTACTCACTGGAACCCTTGAACTGAGGCTGTGACTTTGGGGTGGAAGCTCATTTTGTCAAGGGTGGAATCTAACTGCTTATGCTGTCTTCACAGCAGGAGATTTCAGAGATGGACGGAGAACAAATGCCCTAGGAAAAGAACATCAAGTTTTAGCAGATTGATTATCACTGTCTGACTCTCATCCATGCACACACACCTTGGTATCTACTTTACAATTACTTAATTCATCGTTTCCTGTACGGTGACCTTTTGGTTGCCAAAGAGAGAAATGTTAACTTATACTTCCCAAATTACTTCCCCTTAAGTCCCATTTTCATAGCTCTTTTTAAAAAAACAAAACAAAACTAGGTACAGCGCGTAGTCTTTGTCAGACCCACCGTCTCTGCTCCGTCTGCCCTGATCTTAAACGTCTTCACCTGGAACCCCCACAGTGAAGCTCTGGCCGTCACCGTTTCCGGTGGGCAGTCTCCCCTGCGCCCTCGCTCACCTGCAGACGTCGGGCCACACCTGGCATCTCTGTGAACACCTAGGGGCGGTGTGGTCCAGTGTGCTGGTTTCCGACTGGTCACGCAGCCGTAACCAAGGGTGAGGGAGGGCTCCACGCACCTGCTTCACACAGCTCCAAGGTGTTTCCACCCAAAAGGGCAAGGTTAGAAAGATGTCTATCGTGTGCTACTGTTCATACAAAAAGAGGGTGTAAATTCCTATGTGCTGAAGGGACCCAGAAAACCTCTGGGGGGATGGGTAAGACACGGTGACAGCCACCAGGAAGGCCTGCGGAGCAGGTCGGGAAGGGAGTGGGTACCCCTTCTCAGTAAGTGAGCCCAAGGGGAGCGGGCCCAGGCGAAGCGGGGTCCCAGACCACGCTGGTCAGGTGTGTAGCTGCAGCACCGGGGCACGGAGCATGGACCATCGTACAGACCCGCCCGAGCCGTCCTGCCTGTGCTAACGCCACCTTGTGGAGAACTGCCCTGTGTCCGCCTCTCAGGGGGCCCCCATCCCGCAGCCCGAGCGCCCTGCCTGCCAACACAGCCCTCAGCTGGGGCTCCTGTGTCTCCCCCTGGACTGCCCTGTCCTCGAGTCAAGAAAACCTGTCCAATGAAAGAAGAGTTCATCCTCTTCCCCCGAAGAGACATCTTCCTGGCTTTTAGTACCTGGATTCGATGTGCCATATTTAAAATGATACTGTGCCCGGCCGGTGTGGCTCAGTGGTTGAGAGCTGGATTCCCGGTCAGGGCACATGCCTGGGTTGTGGGCCTGATCCCCAGTGGGGGGTGTGCAGGAGGCGGCCCATCTATGTTCTCTCTCATCGATGTTTCCATCTCTCTCTCCCTTCCCCTTCCTCTCTCTCCAAAATCAATAAAGAAAAAAGAAGATACTGTATGTTTTCTCCGGCTTCTTTTCTCTTCCTTACACTAGAGAATGTGTGCGGTGCCCCGGGGTGGGGGTCTGTCCGGCTGCGGGTGGGCGCGTCCCTGCCCCTGACTCCACTGTGACCCCTGGGTCCTGTCCCACTGCCACTGGGTGGATGAGGCCCGGAGAGCCTGACCTGCCTGTGGCGCACGTGGCCTCTGTCCCGGGACAGCACCTGAGAGGGGTGCGTGCCCCACCTCCTGAAGGCCGGGAAGCCGAGTGCAGCTCTGCACCCCGTGCCCAGCACAGAGCCGGGCTGAGCACCGCTCACTGCGGGGGCTCCGTTCCCACAGCAGCCTGCTGTGCTGAGTGTTGCTCACTCCTGCCCTCTGAGCACACGCAGCCGGTCTATTTTTAGGCAGAAAAGTGCCCAGAACCTCTGCCCACAGCCTTACTCAGCAGACCAGATCAATGTGCTCATGCTGATTAGTGTCCCAAACCTATAAAGTCCCGTGTGGTGCCACCTGCTCTCCACCCCTGCCCCATCCCATCCGCGCACCTGCTTCTCTGCACAGGAGGCGGGCGAGCTCAGGGAGCTGGGACACATGAAGGTCCTCTTCCTAGTCTCTGTTCTCTACTGTTTGGTCCCAATGAACTCAGGTAAAGATGCCCCGGCCAGGATGGAAGCCACTGCCCACCAGGGGAGGGGGGGGAGGCAGGGGAGAGATGAGGGAGGTAGGGAATATGGGGGAGGCAGGGGAGATGGGGGAGGCAGGGGAGATGGGGGAGGCAGGGGAGATGAGGGAGGCAGGGGAGATGGGGGAGGCAGGGGAGATGAGGGAGGTAGGGGAGATGAGGGAGGCAGGGAATATGGGGGAGGCAGGGGAGTGGATGGGGGAGGCAGGGAATATGGGGGAGGCAGGGGAGATGGGGGAGGCAGGGGAGGTGGGGGAGGCAGGGGAGATGAGGGAGGCAGGGGAATATGGGGGAGGCAGGGGAGTGGATGGGGGAGGCAGGGGAGATGAGGGAGGCAGGGAATATGGGGGAGGCAGGGAAGATGAGGGAGGTAGGGAGATGAGGGAGGTAGGGAGATGAGGGAGGCAGGGGAGATGGGGAGGCAGGGGAGATGAGGGAGGCAGGGGAGATGGGGGAGGCAGGGGAGATGAGGGAGGTAGGGAGATGAGGGAGGCAGGGAATATGGGGGAGGCAGGGGAGTGGATGGGGGAGGCAGGGGAGATGAGGGAGGTAGGGAATATGGGGGAGGCAGGGGAGATGCGGGAGGCAGGGGAGATGGGGGAGGCAGGGGAGATGGGGGAGGCAGAGGAGATGGGGGAGGCAGGGGAGATGGGGGAGGCAGGGGAGATGGGGGAGGCAGGGGAGTGGATGGGGGAGGCAGGGGAGATGAGGGAGGTAGGGAATATGGGGGAGGCAGGGGAGATGGGGGAGGCAGGGGAGATGGGGGAGGCAGGGGAGAGATGGGGGAGGCAGGGGAGATGGGGGAGGCAGGGGAGATGGGGGAGGCAGAGGAGATGGGGGAGGCAGGGGAGATGAGGGAGGCAGGGGAGATGGGGGAGGCAGAGGAGATGGGGGAGGCAGAGGAGATCGGGGAGGCAGGGGAGATGGGGGAGGCAGGGGAGATCGGGGAGGCAGGGGAGATGGGGGAGGCAGGGGAGATGGGGGAGGCAGGGGAGGGATGAGGGAGGCAGGGGAGATGGGGGAGGCAGGGGAGGGATGAGGGAGGCAGGGGAGATGGGGGAGGCAGAGGAGATCGGGGAGGCAGGGGAGATGGGGGAGGCAGGGGAGAGATGGGGGAGGCAGGGGAGATGGGGGAGGCAGGGGAGATGAGGGAGGTAGGGAGATGAGGGAGGCAGGGGAGATGAGGGAGGCAGGGGAGATGAGGGAGGTAGGGAGATGAGGGAGGCAGGGGAGATGGGGGAGGCAGGGGAGATGGGGAGGCAGGGGAGATGGGGGAGGCAGGGGAGATGGGGAGGCAGGGAGATGGGGGAGGCAGGGGGGATGGGGGAGGCAGGGGAGGGATGGGGGAGGCAGAGGAGATGGGGGAGGCAGGGGAGGAGGGGGAGGCAGGGAGGAAGTGCAGGAGCTCATCCAGGTGTGTCCTTGAGGGGCTGCGGGGGGCTGTGTGCTGTCGTCGGGGTGTAGCTGAACTCCTCTGGGCTTACTTTGGGCCATTTCCATTCTCCTGTGATGAGATTTTTAAAAGATCCACATGACATATCAGGGCCGTAGCAGGGCAGAGGCTCTGGCACACACAGGAAAGCTCACCGCAGGGTGAGAAGTCTGCAGGGCAGATGCCACAGCCTGGGGGGGTGGGGGTGTGTCTGGGCACCTTCCGTGGGAAGCGTGCTGTGCGGTGGACACTCCCAGGCCTGGTCCTTAGTCACACAGAGCCCACTGCACAGACGAGGAAACAGGCACGGCCGGTGAAGGATCGTCCACGGGAGCACGTGCGTCAGTGGAAGCAGTAGGACGAGGACCCACATCTCTGAGCTCTAGGCTTGCAGACCCTCCGCCGCCAGGAGACGGGCGGCTGCTCCCCTGCCATCCCTGAACCCTGCGGAGCTGAGCTCCCGTGCGGTGTGCACAGTGTGTAGACCGTGCGGTGTGCACAGCGTGTAGACGGCGCAGCCAGTGCTGCGGGTGTTCTGTGACTTTCTGGTTGTGTTGTTTTAGTCCCAATAGTTGGCATTTACACACCCGACATAAGACTTTTCCTTCAACTCTCTCATTCCCAAATGGCAAATGTTTTTTATTCATTGTTGAGGCGTAATTGACATATAACATTGTATGTGAGCACACTGTGAAGTATTAACCTCATAAGTCAGGTTAACATCCCCACCTCACATAGTGACAAGTTTTTCTTGTGACAAATATGAAGCATTTTCCTCATGGGATCACAGGGTCCTTGCGCCTGATCTACGCATCCACAGGTTCTGCTGAGGAGAGAGGTTTTATTTCATGCCTTTTATTGTAGGACATAAAACTAAAACTTGCACCCAGCCAGTGTGGCTCAGTGGTTGAGCGTCGACCCCGCACCAAGAGGTCGCCGGTGATTCCCGGGCAGGGCACATGCCCAGGTTGTGGGCCTGATCCCCAGTGGGGGGCGTGCAGGAGGCGGCCAATCGATATTCTCCTTCATCGATGTTTCTATTTCTCTCCCTCTGCCTTCCTGTCTCTCTAAAATCAATAAAGAAGAAGAAAATTTAATTTTAAACTAAAACCTGGGCCACAAGCTGAGGGTCAGAACTATTTCAGTAATTCTTGGAGGCCAAGTCCCAGACCCCCACTCTTTCACTCTGTTCCCCAAAACTATCTCTGCTCCCCGGGAGTTTGGGACCCTGTCATTCTGTGATAAGTGGAATGAAACAGACAACCTCCAGGCAGCACTGAGGTGTAGATTCCTGCTCCTGTCTTAAAGGTAGAAGACGCAGGCTCGGCCCACCTGCCGCTCGGCCCGTGGGCGCTGTAACACTATAGTCAACACTTGGAGCTGGGCTGCGGGCTGGGCTCCGCCTTGGTTCTCCGCACAAAGGAAACACCAACTTGATTCTGTTGTATGAACAGGGGACATTCCGCCTGGAATTCGAAATATCATCTGCCTCATGCAACATGGGACCTGCAGACTTTTCTTCTGCCATTCCGGGGAAAGAAAGTCCGAGATCTGCTCCGATCCTTGGAATAGGTGCTGCGTGCCAACCGCGGAGAAAGAGAGGAGAGAGGTGCTGACGAGGGATGACCGCGCCGAGGCGGAACCTGTGGGAAGGCAGCCGGCGTCTTCAAGTACCCCCAGGGCTTAAAAGAATGTGTGGCGGATAGTAGGTGCTCAATAAACCTTTGTTGACTGAAGCCAGCGTCAAGGGTGAAGGTCTGATGAAAGAATTTTCCTAAAAGCTTGCTTACTTTGCCTTTTTCAGTTTTTCTAGAGTCTCAGGATTTTGTAATATTCCACTTCCTTTCCCTGTTCCAGGGGGTGTCTCCTACCTACCCACAGGAGGGGGTGGGCCTGAAACCAGGGTGTAAACGTCCACTGAATTACAGCCAACCCACCTGCTTCTTGTCCACCGAACGACATCTCATCAAACCCAATACCAGCCTCATCCTGCCTGTGCCCAGACCACAGTGAGCTCTGTCCCTTGCCCCGGCCACCTCCTGTAAGAACCCCAGTGGGTCACATGTTCATAGGATTTTATCATTTTCAAACCTTTACTCTTAGGGATCTCACTGGATAAACACAACCACCCACTGTAGGGATGGAGGTCAGAGGGTTGAGCACCCGGCTCCAGGTCAGCCCTTCATAAGTGGGGTTCTCGGCGTACTTGCTCAGTCGATGCCTGTTTGAGTTTCCTCTGCAGCACGTACTTTGTCCATGAAGGCAAGAGAGGGCTGCTGCTCGACCATCCGCAGCTCTCGCCCCGTGCTCTGGTCCGGATCCCGCTCAAACACGGTCCTCACACCACGCCTTGGAGCCAGTCACCCCAAGAGCCCTGAGTATTAATGACAAGTAAGACATGTAGAAAGATTAAAGCAAACGTGCTGAGGTAGCAGACCATGTACCCAGCCTTCTCCCCAGTGGTTCTCATGCTGGGATCGCCTAAGACATAACAGCAGTAAAATGACAGTTATGAAGTAGCAACAAAAATAATTTTATGGTTGGGGGTCACCACAACATGAACTGTATTAAAGGGTCCTGGCATTAGGAAGGTTGAGAACCACTGTTCTACCAACAGCTTAGTGAGATGCTTTGTTTCAACAGCTCAGTGAACAGCTTGGAGAGGTACTTTGTTTCAATAGCTCAGTGAACAGCTTGGTGAGAGAGATACTTTGTTTCAATAGCTCAGTGAGCAGCTTGGTGAGAGAGATACTTTGTTTTAATAGCTCAGTGAGCAGCTTGGTGAGGTGCTTTGTTTCAATAGCTCAGTGAACAGCTTGGTGAGAGAGATACTTTGTTTCAATAGCTCAGTGAGCAGCTTGGTGAGGTGCTTTGTTTCAATAGCTCAGTGAGCAGCTTGGTGAGGTGCTTTGTTTCAACAGCTCAGTGAGCAGCTTGGTGAGGTGCTTTGTTTCAATAGCTCAGTGAGCAGTTTGGTGAGAGAGATACTTTGTTTCAATAGCTCAGTGAACAGCTTGGTGAGGTGCTTTGTTTCAATAGCTCAGTGAGCAGCTTGGTGAGGTGCTTTGTTTCAATAGCTCAGTGAGCAGCTTGGTGAGGTGCTTTGTTTCAATAGCTCAGTGAGCAGCTTGGTGAGAGAGATACTTTGTTTCAATAGCTCAGTGAGCAGCTTGGTGAGGTGCTTTGTTTCAATAGCTCAGTGAGCAGCTTGGTGAGGTGCTTTGTTTCAATAGCTCAGTGAGCAGCTTGGTGAGAGAGATACTTTGTTTCAATAGCTCAGTGAGCAGCTTGGTGAGGTGCTTTGTTTCAATAGCTCAGTTGCTGCCGAGTCCAGGGGCTGGTGAAGAAGCTGAGCGACGACCCGAGTGGCTGAGAGCTGCTTCTTCTATTTCTGCCTCAAGCTCAGTGACTTTGTTTGGAGTGATGCCTGGGGCCTCTCCCCGGAATCGTCTAGACTCACTCCTGGTGTTTACGTTCTACATAGAGCAGACAAACCGTGGGGTTTCATGGAGCCCCTCTTCACCGCGGGCACCTCCGTGGGGCCCTCTCTCACCCTCTCGGAGGGCAGGGGACCCGCGGTGGACCTGCTGTGATGCCTGTGTGCTGACCAGGGTGAGCTTCTGCTCCCGAGTGAAACGAAAGTCTGACACTTGGTGACAGGCAGACACTGACTCTGCCCAGAGGACCTCCCTCCACGTCCAACACCCCTGTCCACCAGAGTAAAAACACTCACATGGGGGAGTGGGCCGGTGCCTGGACCCTGGCCAACTGGTCTGGCCTCATGTCTGCACTGAGCACGTGCTGTTGGTCAGCCAGTCCCTTCTCCCAGCCTCATTTTCCTCCAACACGAAATGAAGGAGCTGGTCCAGACGTCTGAGACCCCTCGTGGCTCACCAGGCCATGGGTGCAGACTCAGCACTTCATCAGTGGTCCTGGGGGTCTCCCTCGGGTGGAGCGAGCAGAGGGAACCCATCCACCTCCTTCCTCTTCGGGGATGTCAGGTGACAGCCTGCTCGGACCCAAGGCAGAGTCCAGGACCGGCCCGCAGGGCATCCTCACACCTCTACCCGGCACCATTAACCTTTCCTAAGGGGAAGATTTTCCAGGGGAATTCAGGCCTGGTCCGGCCTACCTGGGGACAAGTCAGACTCTGCAGAGTGTTTGTGGGTCCGGTCAGGTGTGGTAGGAACGAGGACCTGGCTGAGCCTTGGGGAAGCAGGTGTGAAAGGCAAGGAAAGAAGACTTCTTGTGGGAGGGGTGCCCAGGTGACTTGGTGTGGGAGGGGTGCTCAGGGTCAGCATTGGGGTTCATCTGATCCTTGATTTCATCTTGTGATAAAGTGTCCCAAAGACCTGGGTTGAGGGTTTTGCTCGGCCTCTCTGGAAAATGGAACAAGTTACTTCATCTTCACAGCATCCTTTTCCTTATCTGTAAAAGGATCGCGTTGAACATGGTCCTAGGAAGCCCTGGTACGGTTCTAGGGGAACGCGAAGCCCCAAAGGCTGACCCTGTTCCAAAGCCAGAAACCACCTTGGCCACAGGCAGCCTGTCGATCCCACGATGACCAGCAGAGGGCGCGCTGCCACCGCCGGTGCCTCCAGCAGGGTTTGAAATGTGACGTGAGTCCAGCGGCTGAAGAAAGAAAAAGGGAAAGGAATTAAGACCTACAAACCGGCAGTTCAGAGTAGTCACGGGGATGTAAAGTGCAGCACAGTCGATAGTATTGTAACAGCTACGTAGGGTGCCAAGTGGAGAGGAGGCCTATGGGGGGATCATTCTGTGAGCTACACAAATGTCTACCCACTGTGCTGTACACCTGCAACTGACGTAACAGTGTACGTCCAGTGTAATCACACAAAAGATTAAACAAAGAAAGCCACAGCTGGGAGTCCCAGCCTAGCTGAGACAGAGGGAGCTGGGCAGAGTTACATTGTAATGTCTCCTTCCTCTGGAGGGAGCTGGAATTCCCACCCAGTCTGCTCTCTGGGCAGAGTTACATTGTAATAATGTCTCCTTCCTCTGGAGGGAGCTGGAATTCCCACCTGGGTCTGCTCTCTGGGCAGAGTTACATTGTATGTCTCCTTCCTCTGGAGGGAGCTGGAATTCCCACCCAGTCTGCTCTCTGGGCAGAGTTACATTGTAATAATGTCTGTTCCTCTGGAGGGAGCTGGAATTCCCACCTGGGTCTGCTCTCTGGGCAGAGTTACATTGTAATATCTCCTTCCTCTGGAGGGAGCTGGAATTCCCACCTGGGTCTGCTCTCTGGGCAGAGTTACATTGTAATAATGTCTGTTCCTCTGGAGGGAGCTGGAATTCCCACCTGGGTCTGCTCTCTGGGCAGAGTTACATTGTATGTCTCCTTCCTCTGGAGGGAGCTGGAATTCCCACCCAGTCTGCTCTCTGGGCAGAGTTACATTGTAATAATGTCTCATTCCTCTGCGCAGACCGGGAATCCGCTCCAGATTGCAGATCCAGCCTTGTTAAAGCGTCTGTGCTGCTCTTCTTGCTTGGGAGAGGGGCCGGAGGCCCAGCTGCGGATAGTGAAGGCCCAGCCTGCCGCTTCCCGCCCCCGGGCTTCTGGAGTTTGGACCCCGGCCCAGCACTGAGCACTCTCAGCGGTGGGGAGGGCCCCAGGCAGCAGAAATGCAACTGGTTCCCAGGATGACCCATGTGCTCCCCGGGTCTGCCATTCACTCTGCCCACAGACGCCTCCCGGGGATTTATATGAATGATTCCGACAGGATCACAAGCAGAAAGCAATGACTTCCCTGCATCCGGACCTGGGTCCCCGGTCTGCTCCCCGGGGGTTCACCTGCCTGTCCTCGCTCCGAGGCACCTCCAGCTCCAGGGGGTGGGGGGCAGACCCAGGTCTTTTCCTCTTCTCCTGGTGGAAGTCCCCTGGGCACATGGACCCTCTGCTGACCCTGAGGAGGGACTGGGCCGATCCTGGTGGTGGTCTGGGGCCCAGACAGCAGCAGAGGCAGGGAGCAGGCTGCATCTAACAGGGGCGCAGTGGTTAATGCTTGGTTCGTCTGTGTCCTCCCCGTAGTGACTTGTCCCGAGACAAGCGTAAGTATCCCCACTGTCCCACTCTGAGCTTCCTCTTCTGAGCTGACTGGGGAGTAAGCAGGAGTGACAAGCATTCCCGTCTTACACTCCAAGTAGCTGGAACGCCCTCCCCGGGGAGCCGTCCCTGGCCCTCGGAGGCCCTGCAGGGCAGAACCCCTGCTGCAGCTCTGCCCTCGCCTTGCACCCCCTTCTAGGACCTGTCCCCCCTGCCACTACTCACGACCTTGAACTCAACGCAGGTCTGGCTCTCACCCCCATTTACACCTTTGGTGACCAGCCAGGCAGCACCAATGTAAGACAGGTGAGGGGAGAGGGATTCATCCAAGCCTCCAGCGCAGGACTTCAGCCCCCCACTGCCGTCCTTTCTGATCCCAGGGCAGAAGGTGGGGCCATCAGGGAACCCCAGACACCTCCCTGTGACCATTGCCACATCCTTGTCACAGCCTGAAGCCTGCATGCCTATACACTCTGCTCTGTTACAGCAGGGCCTGTAACCTGCTCCTTCCCAACACCCCCCCAAGCTCCCGCAGCAGAAGTGAGGGCGCAGGAGACCACAGACCGTCCTCTGACAGCTCACAGCCCCTGTCCCCTGCCTCTCAGTCACAGAACCTGAGACAG